TTTATATCCTCTGTGGTTAGTAATTATCACTCACTGGAAGATCAGACTGGTCGTGACTATCATTCTTGCAATCCAGTCCATCTTACCTACATCTTCGGACTCATAGTCCTAATAACTTTGCAAGACTGTTAGGATCAGCTATAATCTTTTCCATCAAGACCGCATACTTAAGAATACCGCTAGTGGACTACTGAGTTGTGCACGATCGATTAAATCCTTCGAACGCATGTATCAATAAACGCCCGCGCTCGACAGCTCAAGCTTTGTACGTAATATATTTGAAGCCTTGCAATCCGCTTTTTACACATTCATGGCAGACGACCTCGACAGAGAAATCCAGCTCATAGAATACGAGTAGCGTTCAACCATGGACGCCATAGGCACACCCTGCAAACTGTCACTGCTCGCCTCGAGTCATTGTATTCGCTGGTCGCCGAAATGAAGACGGATGTCAACATCCTGCTGAAGCGCACAGCCACCCAGTCTTCATGTGTGTTCTGTGCCCTCAACGACAACGTTGACAGTTTTTATTCCGGGGAATGCCGCAGACCCAGTCAGCCGAGCGATGCGGGTCAAGAGCTGCGCGGCGCTGTTTAGCGACGGGGGGGGGCATTTTGTACTAACATTGCTTCCCTAGTTCCGGTTTACGAATCTCACCATGGTAAAACTTGTGAACGCCTGTGAAGCTGGAGTAAGATCGTTTACGCACATCCTAAGCGTGCCAACTCAAAAGGCTACCTAGATGGGTCGGCACATTTATGAAAAGCCGAATGCCCCCCCGTCGACAAACTGCGCCGAGCTGCGCTTATGCGGCCGCTGCTTGCGCCCGGATCACGGCGCCAATATGTGTACCGTCTCCTGCACGATTTGCCGTGGGGGACATAACACGGTTCTGTGCTCAACGCTCCGATGAAGAGACCTCAGCACTAGCCGGTTATGCTCCTCCCTTCCGCTATTCATTCTCCCTGCTGCCAGCCATTCCGCGTCACCTCTCCGTCGTGCCTGTCGCGTGATATTTCTCGGTCGTCAATCTGATCACCCTTCAGTCGTCAGCTAATATTCTGTCAATATCCCGTCAGTTCTCATCAAGCTACTCCGTTTTCATTCGTCGTCTAACATCCTACGATATACTGGTTTCGTCGTTCATCGTCACCTTGCTGTCGCTATTAAAGCCCCACAATCGTCGCTGTATGGTATTGAATCGGTTGCTAAGACAGTTCAACAGCAATCCCACGGCCGAGACTTAGCTATTAGAATTAGACTTTACATTGTACTGTACTGTGTTTTGTCCTTTTTGATATAGATTTGCTGTACTGGCTTATGTACACGTCATATGGGGCGCGCGCTAGAGTGTCGCGTCGACGCGTTCGCGGCGACGCGACACACTGCTTAGCACCGCCCTCCCCCCCACGATCTTCTCTCTCGCTTTAGTTGTGTGACTGTGAACACAGCATAAAGTTGCGCATATATTTGCTGAACCACCAAATAATGGTACGGTGCCGTACGGCATGTGGGGAAGAGGATTCGCCAGAAAAACACGGATCTAAATCAGGAACGCGATCGTCTTTAGCTTTTTCACCATACTCAACAGGCACCAACATCATCTCCTTTCCCACCTGTGCTTTTTTGTAGTTGTCGTCATTCTGCTAGAGGGGCATCGAGAAGCTGTGCGAAAGATGGGTATTAGTCGCCCAAAATTTTCCTTCAAACTGTTTCTGAACTTTTTTCCAATCTAATACATAATTATACATTCAGTTTCTCCATGCACTGCGTTCCCCCAAACCCGAGGGTAGCATAGGTATGACTTTGCTGTAAAATAATGCAGTGTGATGACACTGAATACTTTCTTTCACTTCCAAACGAAGAGTGACATGCTGACAAAAAACACCGTTCTTTGACTCGCACATGCACTTAGACTTCACACATCTGAAAGTAAACCGGCTTTAGAACGGTCCATTGATCGGTCTATTGATTATGCCCCGGCGTCCCAAATACGATGCCGCGACGCGTGCGCTTCGCGTTCGGGGAAATTTCCGCGACTTCCGCGGAGTCGCCGAGTATGAATGCGGTCTGAGTCGACTTTAGAACATTATTACCAATTTGTTGCTCATGCGCGGCATCCCAAAAAAGGAGCCGCGACGTGTGCTTCGCGGCCGGAAAGAATTTCGCGCGTTCCGCGGAATTCCCAACTCGGTACGTATACATTCTTTTCTGTAAATTTGGATTCCGCAGAATCCGCGTGTGTGGACGCGGCCTAAGGCATTGTTCACAGTCTGCGACGTTGACGAAACGGCAGAAGCAATAGGCGCGTATCGATTTCGGCGGCTTCGCCAGTTGACGACTCCAGGAGACAGGGCGGAATGAATGTTTATTTGCTCATTCAGCCTTATATAGTCGTATATCACATATATCACTATACTCTTTATCCTTCTTCATTCTTCTTTCTTCGGCCACGTTCGCACCATTCCAGGGTGTTCATCCACCTAAATCGGTGAACCACGTCTCCACCCTAACATCCCCCGTAGTCTGGAATGCATCACAAAAAAGATTTCTTCTAAAGGCTAATGCCCTGATTCAGGGGCTTCTTCACGCGGCCCTGCCGCTTCCCGGTCTTCGGCCACCTCGTGTTCCACGAGCACCCTCCGGGAAGGCGTCCCGGGACTCGAGGGCGCCTCATACCGTGGGGGAGGGGCATAAGGCCCTCTCCCCGGCCACCGTCTATTCCGACCCCGTCGGGCGTACGCCCACGAGCGGGGCGTACGTCGACCCATACTGCGCCCGGCCTGAAGTAGACTTTGCTATGATGCCAATCACTCCGCCTAGAACGAGTCAACTTACTGGTGCCATCACCACCACCGTCGGAGACCCTGCCATCGCAGGGGGCGTGTTCCATGTTGCCATCACCGGAGTTCCGGTGGGCGTGGGGCCCAACGCCAAGACCGCGGGTGTGCCCGGACACCCACTTCCCACCGGATTTACCACCGGTATCACTGTCGCCGCCGTCGCCGTCGTTGCTGGCTGGTTCCACGGTGTCCATTGGATCCACGGTGCTGGTGTGTTCATGGTTGCTTCTGTGAGGTTCCTCCACGGCAAAATGAGTCTGCTTACCGCTAGCAGACCCTTTTATACCTATCCCTTTATCACTCCGGCAATAAGGTACCTCTTATCCCATTTATCCGTATCATTGGCTCCAGTAATCTCGCCTTCTTCATGGCAAGATACTCTTTCATTTTTTTCCGTTGTCTTGCGTTTGTTATCGGTCCGACGCTCCTAAGGTACTCGCCCGTCTTGCACTTCGGTTTCGTCCTTCCCCAAGTGTGTCGTTTCCCGCGTCACCCTTTTCTACTCGGGCGTCTATCCCCCAACTTCTGGGGATCCTCTAATCCCAGAACGACACCCTTTTCTTCAACTCGTTCGCATGTGCCATACGACTTCCGGTACCATGATGCACCCTGTACGTATTCGATCCGAGCACCTCTAGGACTATTCCTGGTACCCATTTCTCCAGCTTATTCCCATAGTTCCGCAGATATACTTGCTGTCCTACCTCAAATTTCCTCTCGCTTCCTTTTTTTATCGTACTGCTCCTTCATATTAGGTTGTCCGGAAAGTTCTTAGCGTTTTGTGCACCTAATCTTTGTACATTCACTGCTGATTAAAAACTCATTCTGCCTTGCTTCTCAGTAGCACATCCTGTAGAGAATTTCTTGCGCTATCTGATGGTATAATTGCCGTTTCACCATTGCTTGATAAACCCTCTTTTTTCAAGATTTTTTCAAGCATGTGAAAAGAGCACTTCGGACGATTTTTTTCTTCGACTATAAATTGGGGCAATCCGCAATCGAAACAGCTCAACAAATTAACCAGGTGTGGGGGCCCAATAGTGCTAGAGAAAGCACTGTGCGGCAATGGCTCAACAAATGTCGTTCTGGAAATTTCAGCCTTGAAGGTGAGCCTCATAGCGGTCGACCTAAAGCAATATCTGACGAGGATTTTAGGGGGATTTTGAAGGTTGACCCATCCCAAACAGTTCGAGAGATAGCAGAAGAGCTAGGCCTTGGCAAATCCACTGTTGCAGATGGTCTGGAACGCATTGGGAAGGTGAAAAAACTCGACAATTGGGTGCCCCACAATCGGAGTGACCGGCAGGAATCGGCACGTCTCGAGGTTCCTTCTTCACTGCTTTTGCGCAAAAGAATTGACCCGTTTTTGAACGGATTTGTCACCTGTGATGAAAAATGGATCATGTATGATAACAGGAGACGTTCCGGACAGTGGTTGGATTTGGAGGAACCACCGAGGTAATTTTCAAAGCCGAACCCTCGCGAAAAAAAATTCTGGTCAGGTTTGGTGGTCATCGGCTGTTGTAATCCACTATAACTTTTCATCACCAGGCCAAACCATCACAGCAGAACCCTACTGTGAACAAACCGACCAAATGTACCGAAAATTGTCAGCTGCAGCCAACACTTATCAAAAGAAAGGGTCCGATTCTTTTGCATGACAACGCCCGCCCACACGTTTCACAAATCACTATCCATAAATTGAACGAATTGGGAGTTGAAGTTCTACCTCACCCACCATATTCTCTAGACCTTTCACCAACCGACTGTCACCTTTTCAGACATTTTCAGAACTTTCCTGCTGAGAAATACTTCATCAAACAGGACCAGGCAAAAAAGACCTTCGCAGATTTCGTGGATTCTCGACCACCCAGTTTTTTCTTTGATGGGATTTCTCGACTGCTGCCACATTGGCAAAAGTGTGCTGATTCGAATGGTGCTTATTTGGATTAAATCCGATGAGTGTTAAGAAAGTTATGATCGTTTAAAGTTAAACACCCAAAACGCTAAGAACTTTCCGGACAACCTAATACATCGCATTTGTGCCATGACTACCGGGTTCCTCGGGGTCTTGAACACATCTAAGGTCGTCCTTAGCCGCGACCCATGAGCATTTCGCGGGAGACATTTTTGGCGGATGCTCCGTCTAGCTCTATACTAATACATAAATCCGCTGACTATTGCGTCCACCGCTTTTGCGGCTTTCCTGCCTTTATAGTGCGCTCTCTTAAAGGTCTGTACAAACCTTTCCGCTTCGCCATTTGAATTATGGTGGTATGGCGGGATGAACGTCAGCTCAATGTTCCTCTTTTTCCAATACTCCTTAAATGCCTTAGCTACGAATTGTGGCCCATTATCCACTACGATTTGCTCCGGGAGGACGTGAGTGCTAAATAACTTCTCTATAGTTTTCTCGACGGTCGTTGTGCTCATAGGCAATACTTCAGGCCATTTCGATTTTGCGTCCACTACTATTAACCACCTTTTACCATCCGTGGTCTCTCCAAAGTCCATGTGAAGCCTCTGCCAAACCTTGGCCGGCATTTCCACGGATGCAACGGTATACGTGTCATATCGTTTCCCATCGTTGCACATATTTCACAAGATTGCGCCATTTTTTGTATATCCATATCTATACCAGGGTACCACACCTTCTTTCTAGCCAACGCTATTCCTCCCATAGTGGCTACAATGCAAAATCTCTAACACCCGTTTCCGGAATCTATAAGGAATAATTATTCGATTGCCTCGCATTAGGCAGCCCTTATACGCATTAATTTCTGTTTTGCACTTTTCATAAGGCTTCAACTCCTTTTCCCGGATCTTTTGTGGCCAGCCCCGCATTACATAAGTATGCACCTTCCGCAGTGTCTCGTCCTCCTGGGTCGCCTTAGCCACCTGATCTTCATTTAAAATAATTTCCTCCCAAGTTTCAGCCATCATCTGTTTCTCTGCCACTTCATCGATCACCATTTCCGAACTCGGCAGTTCTCTCGGATCCGGTAATCTAGATAACCCATCCGCATTTCCAAATTCGGAGGTCTTTCTGTACTCAATGTCGAATGAGTATATCATCAGGCGGAGACTCCAACGATGCAAGCGTTTCGCTGCTATTGTTGGTATGCCATTTTTGGGTCCAAATATTTTCACAAGTGGCTGATGGTCTGTTAACAATGTGAACTTACGTCCGTACAAGAATTGGTTAAATTTCTCCACCCCATATACTATACCTAACGCCTCTTTTTCTATCTGGGAATAATTTTTCTCTTCCTTTGTTAACGTTCGTGACGCATACGCTATCACTTTTTCTTTACCGTCCGGCATCTTATGATATACCACGGCACCTAACCCATATTCGGAAGCGTCTGTTGCCAATACTACGGGTATCTGAGGATCATAATGTGTCAAAACATCTGCTTGCATCAATCGCTGTTTGATTTTTCTAAATGCGCTCTTTTGCGCTTCTTCCCATCGGAACGGCACTCCTTTTTTCCTTAGCTCGTTAAGTGGTGCTGCTAAAGTGGACAAATTTGGGATAACTTCTTTCAAATTTTTTGGTTCTGGCATATTCACCATGGCCTGAACCTTCTTTGGCGAGGGTCTAACCCCTCTGGAATCTACAATGTGTCCTAGAAACTCCATTTCTTCTTTGAGGAATTCACATTTCTCCCGCTTCAACCTGAAACCGGCCTCTCTTAATCTTTTCAACACCTCCTGTAACCGATCTAAATGGGTCACGTCGTCTGGAGCTGTCACTGTGATGTCATCTAGATATATTATTACTCCTTCTATTCCCGCTAGCGTTGTCTCCATTATCCTTTGGAATATTGCGGGTATAGATGCGATGCCAAATGGCACCCTATTATAGACGAACATTCCTTTGTGCGTGTTTATCGTGGTATATTTCTTAGATTCAGCCTCTAATTCTAGCTGCATATAAGCATCCGATAAATCCATCTTGGAAAACTTTTGCCCACCGTTTAACATATGAAACAGATCGTCCGGTTTCGGTAAGGGATACTGATTGATATCTAACTGTGGGTTTACTGTTACTTTGTAGTCTCCACACAGTCGTATTTTACCTCCTGGCTTTGGGACCACCACTAACGGTGTTGCCCACTCTGAATGTTCGACTCTCGTCAATGTCCCGTTCTCCACCAGTTCCTGGAGCTTCGCTTCTACTTTTGGTCTCAGGGCAATCGGGACTGGTCGTACACGGCAAAATTTGGGCTTCTCAAACCCTTCCTTCAGCTTAAGCGATACCCTAGCCGTCGTACATTTACCCAATCCTTTCTGAAACAGCACCTGGTTTGCGAGTAGTATGCTTTTTATCTTTTCTCGCAACTGTTCTTTCGTATAACACAACTTTGGATCTATGCTCTTGACGTATGGTCCACAGTTGATTTGCAATCTCCTTATCATGTCCCTACCACATAATGGGTGGTTGGCTGTGTGTAAAACATAGACTACCATCTCTTCAGAACGTCCCTCAAACTCTACCTTCATTTTACACTTACCATCAAAGCTAATGGGACTATTGTTGTACGCCATTGCTTCCAATTTGGTCTCCTTTAATTCTGGTTTGCCTACCTTCAACCATGTGGCTTCATCGATTATTGATACCGAGGCTCCCGTATCTAATTCAAACTCAACCGTGCTTCCATTTACTATCAAGGGAAGCATGATAGCTGGTTCAATTTCTATCTTATGTCTCGCCTTCAGTCGGTCGTCTATGCTCATCGACTTGCCGTTATCACCATCTCGCGTATGCCGTATCTCCTGCGAGGTATGCGCACGATTCTGGTATGTCCTTACCTGGACCGTACTCACGGTTAGCTCCTCATCTTCAGAATCGTCAGGCTCCGCGCACCAATGTACTTGGCGGGAGACTTTAGTCGGGAACTTCTTCATCCGACAAACTTGGGGTAAATGCCCAGGCCGTGAACATGTCGCACAGAATGCTTTTGTCCTATGAAAGCATTGTTTTGCTAGATGTCCCCGGCCTCCGCACACCCAACACTGCTGCGCACTCAAAGGCTGCGTTCGCAACCGCGTGTCCGCTGTCCTGGTCCTGCTCTTCATCCCCGGTCTATTTGACGCCGGTCTGCGGACCATATTCGACTCTCGTCTCTCTACTCTCGTTCTCGATACAGCTTTTGTATCCTTTGGTGCCACTGTGGCTACCCCTACCTCCGTGATTCCTTGCTTCAGATGTGGTGCGTTCTTACTTACTCTCTCGAACGCCTCGGCTGCTTCTAGCGTCTCTTTTGAAGTCAACTCCTCTCTCTCTAAGAGCCGCTTCCTAGTTTCAACTGAAGCTAACCCACCTATGAACACCATTGCTACCATCGTATCCCGGATATCTTTCACCTTTTCGAACCCACATGTACCTGCAGCCTTCTGCAACTCCGCATAGTATTCTTGCAAGGTTTGACCGGCCTTCTGTGACTTCGACATCAGTGCGAAACGTTCCGCCATCAGTAACTTCTTGGGTAGAAACTGTTGCTCCATGGCTTTGCCTCAGCTCCATCAGTGGGACCGTTTCTGGTTCCTTACCCTGCAACAAGGACTCTAACAACTCATAATTTGAAGCTCCGACCTCTTGGAGAAAGATGAGGCGCTTATCGCCTTCATCAGTCACTCTCCGCAAGGCCAGAAAGTTCTGAAACAACCTCCACCAAGTATTCCAGGAAGTCCCAGGCACATATGGTCCTGGGCTACGGCCTCGATAAACATCATAGGCCGTGGCTGGATCCTGTCCAGCCGGCGAGACTTCTCGCACTCCCACGGTCTTGGTGGAGGTGGCTATACCGCCCTTTTTCTCTTCCATGCCGCTCTTCGAATTCTTGTCGTTGTTTCTTCTGCTGTTTTCGTCGTTGCTGCCACCTTCTTATTGTCGCTGCTCCGACTTCTGGTGTGGCTGCTCCGGCTCTTGTCCTCGTTGCTCCGGCTTCTTGTCCTCGCTGCTTCTTCTCTGAGCTTCGTCTCCTGATCGCCAGTTGACGACTCCAGGAGACAGGGCGGAATGAATGTTTATTTGCTCATTCAGCCTTATATAGTCATATATCACTATACTCTTTATCCTTCTTCATTCTTCTTTCTTCGGCCACGTTCGCACCATTTCAGGGTGTTCATCCACCTAAATCGGTGAACCACGTCTCCACCCTAACATCGCCCTAGAGAAAAACGCCAGGGCGGCCGAGCTATCGTTTCGCCAGGGCGAAAAACGGTGCGGTTGGGCGGTTGGGCGAAAAGCAATAAGTGCGTATCGATCAGACACGGGAGAAACGCCAACGTGGCAAGCACTTCGGCGAAAGGAAATGAATACGTATCGATCGAAGAATCGCCAACCACTCTAGCGAAAGTCGATAGAAACCCAATTTCAATATTTCCAGTCCTTGTTCGATTATTTTTGTAACTATGCCAAAAAAATGCACTTGAGTGTTTGGTGTGGTGGGTGGTTCAGTGGTTTTATAATAACAAAGGCGAGAACAATAATGAATGGAAATAAGCTCTTTATTGAATGGTAACCCACGTACTCTCTTTGTAGGCGAATTGAGGATCGAATGATACCCCTACCTGGCTTGACCCCGCGTCAGGTAGGGGGCGGACTCTATGAGGGATCGTCGTCTCAGACTGTGAGACGACGATGAGGGATGGGATCGTCGTCAGAGACGACGATATTGGGTTTAATTCGGTTTGCAAGCTGCAGGAATAATTGAACACGTTTAAAATTCCCTCCATCAATCAACCTGAACATGCACGCACGCGTCTAACTGGTTGCGGCTTGGGGCCCATCAAATTTTCGCCGGCGCGCTCGGCCTTTTGCCAGCGTTTTTCGCCCGACCGCTTCGGCAAAACGCCCGCCGATACATATCGAAACTGTTTCGCCCAACCGCCAGACTCTTCGCCAAACCTCCAATCGATACGGATTGAAAGCTTGGTGCTAACGTATTATACCTACTACGTATACTCGAAACCCCTGAGATTGGGTAGGCGTGGCTCGTGTGTTGATTTTAAAATGTGGCGCCTGACTTTGTGTGATGTTTTCATTTTGGAGCAGTCGTAATCATGTCTACATCTAATGCAGAACAAGATGGCAGTTTTCAAGTAGAAGTATCTCTCGAGTAACCCGAACTATGCCATGCTCAAAAGCCACGCCTACTCCATCTAGGGATAAGGAGTGTACGTACGTTATACGTACGTAACGTATTTGGGCGGGGGACCACGAGGCTCGCGGCGAGTGGTGCCTCATCGGCTCTTCACTCATCGGCATACTTGAAGCGCCAACTTAGAATAAACAAGTTTCACCGGGCATTTGCTGAGAAATCCCACAGAAGCTAGAAACAAATGGATTTCGAGTAACAGGTGCGTGAAGGGGTCGGGTGGAATGTCTTGTGATTCTGTTGGTGGAAACTGCTCAATTTTCATTTTCTGCGATGTCCACGTGAGCTATTGGAGAAGATCTCTCTTTGGATTCTTATCCAACTTATTTAAAGACAGCCCCCGCGCTCGAGTAGTACATGGTCGTCCTTGTGCAAGTAGTACAGCCCCCAAGCTAGAGACTGTCCCACTCTATTCGTCTGGCACAGCAAGCGAGAAGCGAGTACAGCGCTGTTTCTAAGTTACTACAACGCCTGGCCAGATTTGGAACCGCTTACTTGTTGAAGTGTCCTCGACGGAGCACACAGTTTGTTCTTAGTCGGGGCGGCGGGCATTGCTAATGCCCATGGATTATTCTGCTCCCCTTTATTACAGTTTACTCATTGGAGGTATACACAATTCATTATTATTCCAATTTACTTTCCCAACTTTAATTTTTCGCGAGGTGAAACGCGTAAAAAGCACCAATGACCAATTTTCGTGATGCAAAACCTCGAGACGCACAAAACGTGCGCTACCGTAATCCCAAATTCAGACACCGCGTTGATAAAATTCCTTTTTCCTTCCAAAGAGTTTTCCTCTGCGTTTTTGTTGTTTTCTTTTTGTATTCTTTTTTGCACTGGATGATATCAACTACTGCGAGATGTGATAGAAGATTTGTGAGCTAGGGGTTGCACAGAGACCGCAGGGAGGTGTGACTGTGAGGGAGCGATTTTGTTTGCTGTACCGTATTTGGGGGGGGGGCCGGGGCACGCGCTCGCGCGTGCGATGACGTATGCTGCTCTTGCTCTCCCCACTCGCGGCAAATAGAGTAATTTTGTGTTTAAGGACTGGATATAACACCGACCATAGCTATATTAATCAGTACACTAAGAAGTCGGAAGAACAGTTTGTGGGTTTGGAAGATTTTTGAGATTACGAAAGGTTTTTTGCCTGTGTTTGTTATTGACAGTTAATGTTGACTACAAAAGTTCAAACATTTGTTTTCGGCTTTCGTGGGATTTCTCAGCAAGCTCCCGGTGAACCTTGTTTGTTTTATTCTAATTTGACTGCTAGGATCGCGCTTCAAGTATGCCGATGAGTGAAAAGCCATGAGTCATCACTGGCCGCGCGCCGCGTGTCCCCCCCCAAATACGTTAGCACCCGATTTTGTTTATGTTGTTCTGGAGGACGCTTCTTGCCTGTTTTCTTCTTTGGGAGATTACTTATCAGCTGCTGTTTCATAATTGGAAAGCAGCTATCCATGAGACTTTTATCGCGGGAGCTGTCTAATAGTGACATTTTTACATTTACCCAGTCGAAAGGGTTCTTGCAGATTAGGCATGAACCTCCACAGTTGTTTCTTCGCACTTTTCAGCGTTAAGTATTTTACTTGTTAAATATAGCACCTTAGGGAGTGTTATATTCATGCCCTAAACATGGAATTACTTCTATTTTGCCGAGGAGGGAGCAGAAGAGCAGATGAGTCATCGCGCGCCGCGAGCCGCATAGTCCCCCCTCCCCTCCCTCCCCAAATACATACGTTAACACCGAAAGCTTTTCGCCGAACCGCTTCTTTCCAGAGAAAAGCTGGGTCGCAGACTGTGAGCAGTGCCTAGGGCTGCGCTCATACCCAACGACGACGTCGACGTCGTCGTTAGGTATGAACGCAGCCTAAGCGAATGCGTAAAACTGCTCCAGAATTCGGCGCTCCCATCGTGCACGACGTGACGCGACGCGTACGCGGCGCATTTGACGCAGGATGGAAGTTCGGGTTGGCCAAACTGAGAATCTCGTTTGTACAGCATAGCCTGGGCAAATTGTGTTCGTCATCAACTTGTTGATAGATTATCAGTCAGTATTTCATAATTTCACATAAATACCTCGAACTGATTGCTGCCAAATGTGTAACTTCGCGTTTCTGGCTCTTTATTCGGCTGGTTTATCGGGTTTGTTGAGCTGAGCTTTACGTTCTTGTTGATTGTTAATATTTCCAGTAATGAGCGATAGCCATTTGACTGCACTACGCCTTCCACCATTTGGACTGATTGGGAACAGTGATGGAGGTAAGAATTATTAGTAAAACTGGTACAACTCGTAACGGAACGATGCGTTGAGCATCTGGACATTTCATCGTAGAAGCAGAGTGACGGGGAAGGGGAGCATTTTGCACTTTCGCTGCTTCACTAGGCTCACTCTTGTACCGGTTATGGTTTTGTGTCTACCCCGAAGGGTAGTGCAGCGGTAAAGACAACAATAAATGTTTTAATATGTTTATTATACATTAAGGGGAACCTAAGTCTTAATTAAGACGGGTAGGGTTAGCTGTGGTTAAATGGACTTTTTACTCGGGATGTAGCAGAGGTAGTGGTAGGCTGTGCAGGCGGGTGCGTGCACTTAGATACCCGGGTGGGCGTGGCCACAGGGGCAAGGCTTCGAAATGGACCGGTGTTTCCCAAATTTGTGCCGCAATAGATATTAGACGGGAGCACCGCTTCCAAGGTAAACGCTCCCGCTGCCTTCAAGGTGTGCTTAATGTTCATCTTATGATCATACGTAAGACCTGATGGCCATTTCTTTGCCTCTGCCTAATGTGTGCCTTTAGCAAAAAGCATAAATTCCAAGTCTAAGTTATTTCTTCGTTTTGGAACTTCTTAGTTCGAGCAGAAGAAGCATATAGCTCTTGAACAAGAGAGAAATTGTCATCTCCAAGCTCAGAAAGAAGCGCGGAAGCCTAATTATATCCGTCCACGTCGAGTCCTCGCCCTACTTTGGCCACGCCCACCGGGTATCTAAAGCCCGCCACTCATGGCAGGCTGATTGCGGACCACTCATGTCGTGTCCGCCTCATGCCAGCACTTAAAGGCAAAGCTCGCGACTGCAGATGGCAGGTAATAGAGTTCAAATTCGAGCGACAAAATGCTAGGTAACTGGTCAGTGGAGGAAAAAAGCAGAAAAAACTGTTCAAGATGCCCGTGTAGGACTACGTGCAGATACTGATTTGTACGTGCAAACAGTGAAGAGAGGGCGTGTTTGTACGAATTTCCACTCGTTATCATAAACATATCAGCTCTTTTATCTTATCACCTCACTCTCGCCATTCGGAATGGAGAGAGATAGTATAGTGGCTACTAGCTAGTAGCTAGCAGCCGGTGGGGGTCGGCATGGGCCTAAGGGGTGCTCATGGGCCTAATTGGTCAGCTTCCATCGGAATACTAGCGATTTTTAACTTTCTGAACGTAGCACACTGGCGGCGTCGACAGGGACACGCTCCATCATACGCAACGGAAAACACTGTAAACAAGTGCACAGGTTCGCCATGGACCTCCCTGAATCCTATAGACACATTTGCTCGCGTGGACAGACATTACGCTCAAACATATCACCATCCCATCACCTCTGCGCGGACCTCAATGCGCGGCGCATCCAAAGTTAGCATGATTGGCGCTAAACAAACCACATCCTGCTCCTGCTCCACCACAGGATACGTTCTACATGTATTTCTGGCTATTCGAACACGCTCGCTTGAAACCGTACACAGAAAACGGACTTTCGAACAGTTCGGAGTGTTCCCCAATAATCCCCAACGCAAATTATCTCATAATATAATTATTGGAACTAGAAGACCAGGTCAGAGTCCAGTTCGGGCACCACTGAAGACAAGATCCGGGATTCGGGTTGCAGACGACTAACTATAGTATTTCAGATCGCTGAGGAAGGTGCTAGGCACCGAAATATTCGAAGGAAGTATTAGAAACAATAAAAAAAAAGAAAAAAAAATTTTTTTGCAAGAACTTTTGGATTCTTT